TTGCTCCATGGATCCTGATGATTTTATAACTATCTGGGTCACTGTTAAAGGTCATACTAGCAAAAAAGCCAAAGAAACCTGTAATAGCTTTGGCTTAAAGAGCTCTACATTTAGCTGTTACCCACGATAGTGTATAGGATTTATGAGGGCAGTAAGTATCTAAACAGAGTACTACAGGCTCAGTAATATTCAAATAACAGCTGATTTTAATTTTTGTTTTGGCATTTTTACACACATCCTATTGCAAGCTTGATTCATTTCTTTTTGCATTGGAAAAAATGTTAAAGCTGGAATGGGAAGTCAAAAATGTGGGAATTCATACATTGCGTGCATATGTGGTTTAGTGGTGTGTGCCATTTGTACACCACTTACTGGGGAAGTTAAATCACTTTTGGATACAGACTTCAGCAGCAGCCTCCAAAACTCTGCTGACTTCGAAACTTTGAAGTTGCATTCTCCACAACCTGTTTTTGAAATATTTCCTGCCAGCTCAAAGCAAGCACCATTTTCTGAAGCAGAGATTTTTCTTCTTTTGCTCTGCTGGCTGCAAAGTGATGCTCTCAACTTGCAGTTGCCGACTGGCTTCCCCAGACTGAACTGACTGTCTTCTTTCTGTTAGGAACACAGCAGCTCTTGTGTACTGAAGGGCTTTGTTGGTTTGTTTTTTGGTGTCTTTTTTTTTTACTTTTCAGACTTCCTTCATCAATGATGATGAAAATGAATGCAGTGCTCTTCCATGTACAAACAGGACTTCATTCATTTATGCAGTTATTTAGGAAGCCTCACAGTTGTGGACATGTATACAAGGCTCTGGTGGTCTCAGTGAACTACTGTTCCTTTGTGGTGAGTGCCTAATGCAATAGCGACACAGAATTTACATGACAAAGGAATTAAAGATATCTTTAGTGCTGATTTCCAGATGATTGAAGAGCAGGTTTCAATAAAAGGAGTCATGACTCATGCACAGTTTGTAAAATTCCCTCCCTTCACTGGGAGAAACAGCTTTCTGTTCTCTCATTTCAGGTGGTTTCCTGGGGAAACCAGTGGACAGACTGTGCACCATAGGATCTAGTGGTCTCCGCATTGGGAAGCTGTGTCTCCCCACTGAATCTGTTGTTCCAAATGTGGGTCCCTTACAATTGTCCTGCCCCACTGGGTCTGTTGGGCTTCGTGGCCCTGTGCCATCTGCACAAACAACCCTCAGCAGTATCAAAGCAACTGTGGAGCGGAGAGGGCTGATAGGCTGCTGTGCTGGTCTGAGCTGGGAGAGCGCTCAGTGTCTCGGACAGTCTTCTCAAGCTTGCTGCACTTGCTGACCTCCTCAGGACACAAAAACCACTTCTGCAGAGAGGTTGCTTCCACCAGCAGTGGAAGCAGTTAGTGGAGGGATTAATTTAAAACCTTATCTCTTCTCCCTCTATTGGTGCCACTCTGGCTGCGTCCAGCTTCCTTTGCCCCATGCCTCTGCAGCTCTTGCCAAAAATTCAGTCTTCTTAGTGCATTTCACCTCATTCCCATCACAAAAAAAAAAAATAATCCATCTGATGCAAAGATTGCCTCTCTAGGGGAACTCGTCTTTGCTTAGCAATCATTGTCACTGTAACCTTCCCAATGGAGTTTAATTATGTGCTTGCGATTAAGCAATTATGCATTATCAGAACAGAGTAAATCAAGCCTTTTATCTCCACTAACAGGATATTTCCTGTGAGTGTTTCTGCCAAAGAAACCTAGGGGAAAGATGGGACAATTTTTGCATGTTATGTAAGCCCGTGTTTATTTCTGGAGCTTGCAGCACCATGCACTGGTTGCAATCACATCTGCTGCAGCTCCAGGGTCGCTGTCTGACCCCCACCCAGCACAGCCAGGGGACTGAATCCACATGGTAGTGGGTGGCTGAGTGGTTGTGAACCACAGCCACTCCTAAGGCATGCTGCTGAGCCCACCTCAGGAACAGGCAAATCGGTTTCAAAGATGCTATGCACTTGCAGATAAAACTGCGGGCTCAGTCGGATGGTTGGCCTGCCTAAAGGCTCTTCATCTGCAGAGAGGGGGATCTCGGAGCTGCTGTGAGAGTTTAGTTGTGCAGATAAAAGAGGCCACCCATGCTCTTGCTTCCTCTGCATTCAATTAGGTTGCTCACTGATGGGCTAGCACTGCAGAATGGATTTTCCCACTGATTGATCTCTCAATGTAAATGAGCTCTGGTTTTAAACTCAAACCATACATACTTTTTTCCCCCTTGGAGCTGTTCTTCACTCATATTCTGCCCAGAATACACTTTTCCTCTAGCTAGGATCTACAGCACCATTGTAGTTAAGACCCTGCATTATCATTATTTGTATAAAGAGCAGTGAGATGGCCATTTGCCTCAGAACGTCTGTATTTATGTATTCCTTTTCTTGTCTCTTCTCTTATACTATTCAAGAAGACTGAAAACTTGTCCTGTGCAGCCTGTTCAGCTCTTTGCTCTTGTTTCTCCAGGCTCTTTACACAGGAAAAATGAATACTTAATATGTGCAAATTTTTCCATGTATGTCTGCAAAAGCATGGCTAGTCAGTTATAGTGAAGTTTTGAGTAAACTGAAATTCAGTCACATATTGTAAAATTTAAGTTTGAATGCAACATACATCTCTGCATTGGAATATTTCTCTTTGTGATTCACATGATTCCTATTGTCTTTTCAGACCTTGATCAGGAACTTTACATTCTGTATCTGCGGGAATAATTATTTAGTGCCTGTTGACTCAACCCTTCAGAACCAAAATGTCACCTGAACAGGGTCTTTGGATCTGTAGCAATAAAAAACAATAAACATATAAGCCATTAACACAGCTAAAAGCTACTGGAAAATGAGGGTTAGATTCTTTTACACAATTTATTAGCAACAGCTATTAGAAAATTAATCAGATATAGTAACTTAAGCAGAATAAGCTTGAATGAAATTATGCCTGTCTTCCAAAGCAGACTGGGTCAGTACTTCACAACCCAAAATCTCACCCCAAAGTCTAATTTCTGTGTATCAGAAAAGCAGAAGCAGGTAGAAAGGCATTGATTCTGAACAATATTATAGTTGCCTTTTTTAAAAAGACAAATGCAACTTTTTAAACTTGCTGTTATCATAAAACTGAAATTTTCCTTAGCCAAATATGGTATTTCAGAACACTGCTACTTAACATCTAATCACAGTCAGATAGGAACTTCATAAGAAATATTTATGAAGACAGTAGCTCTCGAGTTTTGAGATTATTTCTATTAAAAGCAACATCATAACTGTCACTCTCAGTTTCTGTATGAAATCTGGTAAGAAAATCCCCCAGGTATGACAAGATACTGTAAGTACCTGCTGTCAAAAAAAAGTCCAATCGCATTTGGTTATAAAGGTTTTACAGCAATAAGAAGGATTGTTTAGATTAAAATTACCCTTTGGTGAACTGAACATCACTTATGGTACTCAGTATCTTGAGTTTTTTTGCATAACCACGGAAGATGTTTGGGAAGAGTGAAATAACCCAAACCAGCAAAAGAGTGGATAGTTTCTGGAGCGATTTGGTGTAAATCTGAGGTGTAACAGTCTGAAGCAGGAACTGATCTGCAATATGGTCTGTAGACTACTGTGGATGCTGGTGGCCACAAGCAATGCTGTCTCTCCTGTTCAAAGCTGATGGCATTTCCCACACAGCCTTCCCCATTGCACCTGAAGGTACCAGCACTTGAAGACATGATTTAGGTGCTTCTGGAAGTTCTGGGGGCAATGGGTCAGTAGTCTAATGTTTATTTAGGACATCGGTGTTGTGCCTGAATTATTTTTTGAAGAACATTATAAATTAAGGAAAAAAAAAAAAAACAGAAAAACCTTTTTAGTATGATCCGAAAATGTCTTGTGATAGAAATCCTTGGGCTTTGGTTAAAAATATCAGGCTGGCCAGATGGTACTTACAGAGGCATCTGTGGAGATTCGAGATCAATACATGTCGACCAAAATCAGAAGTGGCATAAAGGAAGATTGTCTGCCAGCAGTGTTCCTCAGCCCCGTGGGCAGAAAGTTCATGTATGTGTCCATGCAGACAGCTTGAGAGCTGCCAGTTCCTGTCCAGAATTCTCCCTCACCCTGTGCCCAATCCTCCCCAGGAGCTGTGTGAGCTTGGTGGAAATAAATCCACTATGAGGTGATGGGAAGTACGAGAAAGCTCTCAAAAGATCTTGGAAAGGGGAAACTTCCTTTTCAACCATCCAGCAGGACAATCCCTGTGTCAAATGTCCTTTTGTCCCAGAGCTCAGCCACCCCTCTCCAGTGTTGTCCGCCCTGAGCCGCCTCCTGACAGTGCTTCACTTCAGCGACCCTTCCTGCTCCCCATGGCTTTTAGGAACTAAGCCAATGGCTCCTCTACAAGAGCTGGACAGGGTCCCAGGACCTTGTGGACATCCCTGCTTCTCCTCAATGACACCCACGGGGGAAAAAAGTCATTGGAGTTGAAGAGTCAGCATCTGCAGTGCTGAGTTGTTTGATTCCTTTTACAGCAGTGCTCATTTCCATGGCTTCAGTTTGCTCCACAGTCCAAAATAGCTGTAAGTCCACGCTCATTGTGTATGTGGTGAAATGACACCTCATCCTGCCCCTACACAGGACAGGGAAGATTTTCTGCAGAATGAGGTTGATTGAAAGAATGGCTGCAAGCTGTGCAGGCTGTGCACAACAGCCACTGAGGTGAAATCAGTTTTGTGCTCAAAATGAGGATTTTTACATTATTCTGTCTTACGTCAAAAAGTGTGTGTGCAGGAGCCCCATGGTATTTATTTTTTTTAATCAATAAAGTGTGACCAAGAAGTCCTCTGAAAGACATCATCTTCCAGCTCTTAACAACCAGTTAGTTTTCATTAGTCCAAATTGCAGAGCCTGTTGTCTGTTATCTATTTGGTCTTTGGATGTGGATGAAAAATCTGTGCTGTTTACGAACTGCTGGACATGCAGTGTCTTTTCTAAACACAGAAACCACAGTACTTTGAGTCTGTCAAGGCTGTTCACTCGCTCTTTGGAGGCATTTATTGCATCTTTTAATTTCTCTCTGCTTCCTTCCTCACAGAGTTTGGATTCAACTACTTACTCTAACACAAATATTTGAAGAATTGGAGTTCTCCTGAAGTCTGGTAACAACAGAAACAGTAAATGAGGGAGAATCTGAAATGAATGAAAGAACAAAACCTCACTTGTTACAGGAAAGACACAATTACAACTAACTATTTTTTCTGTAGACAGTAATGTATCACCTTATAAAAAACAATAGCTGAAAATTTCTTTGGTCCTTACAAAATAATAAGAAAATAAAATTACAAACACTTCACTGAATAATAATAATGGAATTAGTTATCAAGAAGATATAATTGGAAATTATCAAGAGAACACAGAGAGAGGGACAAGAGTTCAAGCAAGCTTCTTGCACTCTAAAATGGTAATGTTCTTAAGTATAAGCTGCAGTATCAGTAAGCTGTTGATCAGAAATACTAGGAAAACCCACTGTGTTTATTATCCACTCTCCCACGACTCATACAGCTCATTATCCTCCAGCAACACACAATGAACACATCGGATTTCTCAGGATCAATTCTATGTATAGTACAAGGGTGAGACAACGTCCATGAGAAGAGTGGTTAGATAGTCAGATATAGGCCAGATAGAAATTTGTTTTCCCTTTTCTTCCTAGACTTTTTCTTACTAAATTTCTATCTCTTTCTAATCCAGTTTTGTAAAGACTTCAGCAGCATGCCACATGTTCATAGACCATGGGTATCTGATTTTCATGATAAATACATCTTTTTCTGCTCTCAGAGCACCCCTGGGGGAAGCCACCCATCCCGCCCACCTAGAGCAGAGAGGCAGCAAGTTTCTCATACGATTTTTGTCACATGCTCCCTGGCTGGAAGTAAATATGTCAAAATGGGACTTCTGTTATTGAGAGTGGATCAGTAAAATCATTTTATGCCTTGTAAAGGGATAATGCAACTGCTTCCATCTCAGCATCAATGTCCTGGTAACTTTAATAGTCCATTAGAAAGAGTATTTGACTTCTAAGGCTTTTGCGAGGTAAGTAATTCCGTGAGCAACCCTCATTACAGAAATGCTAGCAAAGGCCAAGTCACAGCTGTAGCTCTTCTGTCCTGCAGTGGTAGAGCTGATGCAAGGGGAAGGTAGGCTTGGAATGGCTTTTACCGTCCCCGTTTTTGGGGGATGACTGTGGAGTGAAGTGGTGGCAAGGGCCAAGGTGCATTTCTCACTGCCTTTTCTTTCCTGTGGCCAGGCCTGTGCTAAGACAGTTTACAGCCTTCAGGAAGGGCCATGCACAAAATGCAGAGGAGTCAGGGCTCACTGGCTTGAGGTCACCAATTAAAAGAAAATTAAAAAGAAAGCAGAGATGTTTTGGCTCAGATATTCTGAATAATTTCATTTAGCTTGAAAAGTTTGGACAAAATATTTTGCTATTCTGGCACCAGCTATTTTGGCACTTCCAATTCCATTAAGAAGTTTGATAATTTCATTTCTTGTACAGATGCATGAAAAAGAAACCAGTCCAGATGCAGTATAGAAACTGTCATGTGTAAGATCTGATTTTGAACATCCCTACAGGGTACAGCACTCAATGGAAAAAAATAAGGTGACATTTCTGTTGCTACCCTAAAAGACTGCAATTCCTTTGCAACAGATTTCTGTAACAATATCCCCCAGTGTTTGAATTTTGGACTTTCTGCTTTTTGAGTAGTACGGTATTTTCATACATAATCTTTTTCCCATCTTTCCCGTGCCAAAAATGCATTCTAGAGTCCTCCTCTCCGCATCACACTTCATTCTGCAGCTGGGCTCATTCTAGCTGAGCTGCTGTTGCCTTTGTACATGGGCAGAGGAACAGGGGGCTCTGCAAATTATAATTGGTACTACATGGTGCTGCCAGATACTTGGGTTTCACTTGTGCAAATTCAGGGCAAAGTTTAATAGCTGATAGCAATAAGCTGTATTTAAGCCAGTAACCTCCAAGGTGAAAGGCTCTGTAACCCGTTACTAATTTCCTCACTCATCTTGCCCTGTCATCGTGCAAAACAGTCCTGCAGCTTTATAGCAGCAGCAGAAGCTGTTGGAGTCAAAAGCCTTTAACCAAGTAGTGGAGGAACACAAGAACTGGATCTAATACTGTATTTTTATTCCAGAGTTTGTCTGTCTGGCAAAAGCTCCACAAACATTTGGTTGCTGTGCTGTACGTTGCTTATCCAAACTTCTCACATGTTAGACATATTCTCCTTCTAGTTTGGCTGTTATGGTTTTTATTGTGCCCTCTCTACTGCCTTTGTAGATTGTTACATAGCCAGATACATGAATTCCTTTACTCTGATCACCAGCGTCACAAAGAATCTCCTGTGGAAAGAAAAACTTGATAGTTAAAAAAATGATAAAGATGCACAACTCCATCACACACTCACAATTTACTGTTGCTGCTGCTGCAGAGCTGTTTGGAAAAAACAGTCTGGTGGCCTGGACTTCAAATCTACAGCAGTGTGTTCAAGATGTCTGAGCTCTTGAGAGCATTTGCTGGTGTAGTGAATTAAATTTAGAGCTGTGCAAATCCGGCTTTGGATTTAGATTTATGAGATTCACCTTTGACCTGGCTTTGAATGGTGATTTAGATGCCTGTCTTGTGCAAATATGTGGGCAGTGTACTTTTTGTTCTAGCATTCAGTACTGAAAGAGTATAATTTTTATGAGGAATACTTTCCCCACTAGTCACCAATTTAGGCTAGGGTGTCTGCTTATGGCTACATCCCCTCTTTTCTATGAGATCAGGCTTTAAGGTATCTGCAATAAGAATAATTTTAATTGAATAATCTTGGTACAAACAGTAAAATGAGACAATGCCAACAAACATTGCTATATTATACATAAAGTCTGAGTAAGTGGATTAGTGTATAGTTCAGGTAAACCATAATCAGCTGTTCAGCCAGCAGCACAGACGCAGCTTCTCAGGGAAGGTTAGGTTTACATTGTGATGTTTTTTTGGGTTTTCCATTTCCTTCTTGAGGTCAGAAGGTAAAGCTGAGAAGAGAGGTTCTGGATGTCAAGAAAGATGCTGAAAAACACTGTTTCAAAAAAGATCTTCCTGGGATGTTTTAACAGTTATGAACTGAACTCAGCCTTGCAAAGAGAGATGTCTTCACATGCCAGATGAAACCAGGAGAAATCTCTCTGAGTCCCTTATGTAGCCGGCAACCTCCAATTAGTCCTTCCTTCCCACAATTAGCACCCGGAGATGGGCATCAATGTCAAAAGCTGCATCTCTTTCCTATTGTGGTTTCAATATACTCTGCCATCTCAGCCGTCCAGGCTTCCTGTGATAATGGTTGCCATGACAGGAATGCTCTCATTCTCTCTTTGATCCTGTTTTGGAGACACCGTTCCATCTGCAGCAGTGATTACACTGGTCACAGCTTCCTGATGAGCACCGTCTATCTGCTATAATAAAAATAAAAATGAAAAAACAGCCAAGGTCCTTGCAATATTCAATATAGATTAACATTATTCACCTGCTAAAAATAAAATAAATAATATCAAAGAATATAAACCAAAGTAAGAGAAGATAAAATAAAATAAAATAAAAAACAATACTAAATTTATAGAATCTAATTCTGTTCTTGAAAAAGCAAGAATGGTAGTAATGTAATCTTTCAGATTGTATCTGCATCGCAGACTATGAGTGTTAAATTCATCTTGTTGAATGTAAGAGGAGTGAATATTAATTAGCAGCCTCTGATCTTAATTTGGTGAGAAACCGATGGAGCAAAACCTAAAAAAAATTGTCCAGTGACTACAAATTTCTTAGACATTAGGAGCTAAAAAGCATGTCCTGGAGCAAACCAGAGCCCTTTAGCTGCCAGCACCCATGCACTTGGTGTCCATCCTGGCTGCCCCACCACCCTCCAGCCATAGGAGAGGGGTGTCAGCATGGCATCAGCACTTCCCGAGCAGACAGGTGTATTCTTTGCACCACCACTGTGGCCTCTCTTTGGACTCATTTGCCATCAGCTTAGTCTGCATCGAGATCCTGAGTGGGACCTGGCAGGTTCCAGCTGCATGGAGCAGGCACTTGCAGCCCTTGGAGGGGACCAATCACTGTCCATGCCTTTTTTCTGCTCAAACAGCACAGCCCCTCCATATACAGTTTTTTTCCCTATTGTTGCCTTTGCCTACACATTGTTGCACTACTGTTATATTGTATTATCCATGTATTGTTGCATTAAAACACCACAATTATAGGCTCCAGGTATGGCTGAAGTTAAACAAAAACCACTGCAGTGATTGCCAGTCTCCCTAGTGGTGCTTTCCCATGCGCTGTGACTCCCATGCAGAGAGCAATCTGAGTATCTTGGAGAAACTCAGCAGGAGAAGGTGGCAATTAAGAGGCTGTTGATACAAATAGGCATTTTAGTGGCTTTCCCACAGTCAGAAAACTCTGTGGATTTGCTTTAGATGAAGATCTGGGCCTGGTTGAGCCAGAAAAAAAGGCAGAAAAACCAAAAAGCAGCACATTGAAATTACACCGTTTCCCACCTATGACATGCAAAGGGACAATGCCAAGTTTGGGACCAGTTTCTCACCTCTTTCTCCCTTTCCAGAAGCCTATGTGACAGCATGTTTCCCAGCCCCTGGCAGGAATGCAGAGCTGGATAGGATATGAAAACATGCTGTGGGCTGGTCTGAATGGAAAACTGGACAAGATACAAACACCCTCTGTGATTCCCAGGCATTATACACTCACAGGGGGACAAATATAGCTGTAGGTAAGAAAGTAGCTTTTGGCATGCTGAGGGCTGTAGGTGTCTGTCTGAGCTTCCTAACTGCATCAAAAGCTTTGCTGTTTTCAAGCCTGCTTCCATGTCATTGTTCCCTCCCCTTAGGTTTTTGTTCTGTCCTTGTTCGTGTAAATACCCTAGCAAGGGAGGAGAAAAAAGGCTCACAGAAAGTAGCAACTGCAGCTCCTTGCTCTGTGGACCTAGGGCTTCCTCCTGTCTCTCTTCCACCAGTTGCATGTTTCTGTGAGGGTCTGCATGCCTAAGGCTACCTTTGCTTCCAAGCTAAGCCACAGAAAAGAAAGCTCACAAGGAAATCTCCTGATCAGAGCCTGTTGGAAGAGAATTTAAAGCAGAGGGTGATGTAGTGCACATAAAAATTGTGGAACTGAATAAATAACCAAGAATGGGTTTTAGATATCTCAATTACCAAATAAAATGCCAAAAGCAATATGAAATAAAGCAACAACTGTGGAAATGAGAGGAAGCAAAGTACATTTTCCTTTCTTCCCGATAGACTCAGTTTTGGACTCTTCAGTGAGAGTCTATTAATTTTCTGTGTGTTTTGGCATCAGAAACCTCATGAACACACAGACACATATATTCTGCTGAATTTTAAAGCTTAGTTTTAATGTCAAGAAGTCAAGGGCTTGCACATCCACAGCTCTTTGTACACACTGTAAAAATACAGATATTTTAAAATGCCCTTAAAGTCAAGCTATTACCATCCCCATCTGGATTCCCCACAGTGAAACAGAAATGCAGGCACTCATCATCACATATCCATGCTGGTCAAATCATCTTGCCAGAGGGATCTTCTGGGCAGCACTATGGATTCACACACGACGGGGCAGACACAGTGGCTCTTTTGGTTTCGGGACTGTCACTCACCCACTCCCTCTCTTTACCAAGGGCCACACGTTCTGTTTTTCTGGCATGCTACAGCCAAAGCTTAAACAAGCTTCCAGAAAGCTACTTCTTTACTCCCTGAGGTTTGAATCAGGGGCTTGACCCTGCTCAAGCCTGGCTGGTGACTTCCCCAGAGCTTAGGCTCAGGCATCCTGAAGGCTCTTGGGCTTTCCATCTGCTTCCCCCTCTGCATTCATCTCTTGGCTCCCTGAGAGGGTATAAGTCCTTATGTCTGTGCTCTTTTGTTTCTTCGTTTGCCCTGCTGATCCGTACATGATTTCCCTTTGCTTGCTGAAGCAATTTCTGTTCTCCCCGCAAAACCTGCCTGCTGAGCTGATGCCACAAGCTGTGGAGTTCAGCCACCTCAACCCTTCCATTCCCACGTGGTGCGCAAAATGGCAATGCCAGAGCAGGGTGGTGATTGACTGATTGCTGTCTGCTGCTGCAAGGCTCCAATAGCAGCGCTTCCCACACAGCATGGCTTACTATGCCCTAGTTAGCAAGCAGGCTTGTGCAACTGTCCCTCAAGTGACATGGATGGCATGCTGTACCTGTGCTGAGCAAAGGAGAAAACCAGTGTGGCTTGGGATAGCAGGGTATTGGGAAGCAAGGCAGCCTGAGAAGCAACATAGGACAGTGTGTAGGAAATGAGGACTTGCAGAGGTAGCCAGAGGACACTTCTGCCTCATCCAGAGAGCAGTCTTTCTCTAGATACAGCATGGGGAAAATAAAGCAACCCATAGTTTTGCTGCAGAAATACCTAAAGACCTCACTCAAGTTCTGACTAATCTCTGTCATGGCTCGCTCGTGATCTGAGGACAGCAATGAATAGGCTTGCAGTCAAACACACCTTTCTCAGACCTAACTTTGTTTGCTGTTTTTCTTGGTAGTCTGACATCTCTTCCTGGGCTACACTTAGACATGTTTGTAAAGGCTGGTTGCTTTAAGATCCTGTCATCAGGCCTTGATATGGAATAAGATTGCCTCTTAACCTCGCAGAGCAATCTGGGAAGGATTTTCTGTGCACAGGGACCACTGACGAAGAAGAGGCAGAGATCAGAGCTTTCTTGAGAAAACGAAGGTTCCTAGTATTATATTCTTCACATTTTGAAAGAAATCAACATTTTTCAAATAAAAGAAACCCAAACTCCAAATAAATTCACAAGTATGAGCAGAACTAGAAGCCACATGTTTTTCTGCAAGCCCATACCCCAATATATGTCATGTATTACATATGCTCAATATTCTAAAGCAAAGCATGTGCCTTCTCATTCACCAGTAGCTAGCTGCAAGGCAGTCATTGATGTCTGTCTGGCAGAATGGGACGTGATGCCACTGTGGGCAGAGGTGGCCACCTCCAGGAAGAGCTTCTCTCCCCCTGCAGCAGGCAGGAGCTCTCCTCTCAGACTACATGGCTGCCTTTTCGAGGGCTGAGTCTCATGCCCCACAGTCCATCACAGAGGGCTTTTGGAGGGAGGCACAACCTCCTCTATGTGCCATTACTTCAGACGGTTTGCATAGAAGTTGGTTTTTGTCCGCTTTTGCTTCAGCAAGCAAAGGCAGGAAAACAACTCTCAAAGTAGAAATACAGTCAAGGGTAAATACAAGTGATTTCCAGTTAAGGATGTGCTGTGTTTACCTATTTTCCATAGATGTGGAGCAGGTGAGTTTAGTATTTGCTTTATCGATACTGTTCAAAAAGTTGCTTCCAAACTCCTAAGTCTCATAAAAGTACTTGTTTCGTGCCCATTTTCTGGTCTTTCTTTAACCTGCTTTCTGTGGAAACATTTTACAGCTGTAATCAATCAGATGTCCCATTGCCTATTTCCCTACATGAAATCTCACATACAAAACCCCCTTAATAGCAGCTGGGTTGTGGTGTCTGCTTTGTTACTAGAAAGACAATCTTTGAGAATGTAATCATGACTTCCTGCTACTGCAAAATGTGTCTGCAGCTCTGCCAGTTAGCAAGTCTGCCTGTTCAAGCCATGAAGCTGAGGGTGCTTCAGGAACCGTCAGGCCTGTTCAATAAACTGTGCTGATCTTTTCATCTTCTTTATTTCCTGAGTCATTCCAGCTCTGGACCTCAGCTGCCATATGGAATCCTGCTTTGTAATACTATCTGAAACACACTTTCAGCTCATAAATGTGTTTGTGTTTAGAACTACAAAGGACGCTTCCTGGCTGTTCAGTAGGGCTTTCTTTTTTTTTTTTTTTTTTAATATATGTATTTATGAAATAAAATGTCAAGCTCCTTGGCATGATAGCATTCATACCAACTTGATTCTCATGCTATTTCCTATGAATAATAACGAAAGTGTTGCTTTAAATAAAATATGGATCCTGATCCTGTTAGAAATTGGTTTTAATCTCTTTATATAGTGCTTTGCTGAAAAAATTTTCTTGTTAATTTTAAGAGAAAATTAAAAATCTGTAAAATCTGTGCTACGGCATCACTCTGTGAGGCAGAAAAAAAGCATCTAGCAAGTAATGTGTCTCATTCTTAACATTGTTTTTGTACAAGTTTGTTGTTTGTTTGTTTGCTTTTTCCTTAGACTCCACCTGTTTTTGCATTTTCCAGCAACACTGAAATGATGTTTTTCATTAGTTAACTATATCTGCTTGCATATTGGTGCCTTCAGAGTGGGGCAGGAGACCACATGTGCAGTGCTGCATATCTCCATGACTTTGTAGCTTGGACTTCAATGAATAATGCCAAAATGCACACACATAAGGCTGACTTGCATTGTTTCTTTTTCAAAAACATATCAGGACTTCTATGCTTCAGCGCTGAAAGGCTCAACTTATTTTATCTATTCTGCTGTGCATGTCAGAAGTCATGAAAATGAAGGAGGGAAAACTCAGTGCAGGCTGAGCTGGCCATACTATACACAGGACAAAGTAAATTCTTAAAATCTCACCTTGTAATAGTGCAAGGAGGCTGAAAAGGGTGTTTCTGCTGTATCTCCAGTCCAGCTTTGGCCATAGCTTGCTGGGACTGAGGCAATACTGTAGCACAACACAGGACTGGGTGCTGATGTCACTTGGTCAGGAGGATTCAGCCAACCATGGAACCTGCCTGTATGGTAGCAGTGACATGTGCCAAGGACTTTCAGCACTTGTCTGCCACAAAAATAGACCCAGAGCAGAAAATAACCTACCCTACAGTCAGGCAGCAGGGAGAACTGTGTACTGGGAAGCCACACAGAGAAAACTCATGAGCACTTCCAGCTTGGGCTGGAGCCAAGGAGGCAGAGATGTGCCCAGCAGCAATTTCCCCAGCTTTTGAGGAGCATCCATTTCTCACCTATGTGGCTGCATCACATAGTTCAGTTCAGACACTTGTTTTTCTTCCTCTGAGATGATATCAGCACCTTGCCCCTGTCTGTCACCTCTGAGGGACCGGCCAGTTTGCTGTGGGGAGCAAACAGGACTCCCGTTGCTGTCTGCCTGGTCTGGAAGGTTTCCAGAGAATTAGAGAGGCTGTGAGGTGGACAGTGAGTGCACAAAAGGAGTCAGGGTCTCCCACTACCAGGGACCAACCGGGAAGAAGCACCATGGTGGGAGTGAAACAGGTGCTGCTCCAGAGGGGCCCTTCTGACCCCATCCTGCGCCATGCCTGTGTCTCCCCAAGGCTGCAGTGCCACGGCACATCATGGAGGTACTCGGCTTCTGCAGCACAGATGTAGTGCCGCGCCGCCTTGGACCCACAAAGCATGGAGGGACATCAAAAGAGCATATGCCTCAGCAACGGCACTTTCCAGCAGCCAGCCATCCTGCCTGCTCAGAACCATATGTGCACCCAGCCCCCCCGGACCCTTCTGGAAAGGAGTTGTATTTGAACTGGGGCAGGCTGGATACAAAAGTGCAGCTTGCTGTCCTGCACACCTCGTCTCGGCCTCACTGCCAGTGCCTTTGCACCCACCGAAGTATTAGAGCAGCAGTGGGAGATGCAGCAGTACACATAGCAGGGAGTGGGAGTTCATTTGCACATTGGAGTCAGCACAGAGGATGGGAGCTGACATGGTCAAAGCTGAGGAGTGGTTTTCATGTCAAGCGAGGTTAAATGAAGGCATTTCAGCCTGGCAAAGGAGCAGCACAGAGACCTCCAACACAGTGGAAGAGAACAGGGATCACTTGATTTGTTGGGCTCATAGCACTAGTACTAAGTGGCACAAAGAAAGAACAAAAACCCCACAGCGAATCCCCTTTCAACAACACAGAATCAAACCCTGAAACTCATTGCTGGAGGATAATCTGACAAAAGGTATAAACAGAATGAAAAAGTGTTAGACAAAGGAGACATGAGCAGAGACCATGCCTTGCCAATCTTAATACTGGGAGGTCTTTAAGCTTTCAGATATGGGGGACAGGTACCCCATCGTTTATATTTTTATAAGCATTCTGTACTGTTAGAGCAGTGGACTAAACAGATCTGTAGAGTGATTCAGTACAGCTGTTTTACTGGCATGCTCACAGAACAGTTGCGAGATTATTTTATGTTTGTTATGAATTACTTTATATTTCCAAAGAACAGTTTTTGCAAATGCATATAATGGAACTAATTAAAAAATCAGCCATGATCATG